TTTGTATGTAATGACCTATCTACGAATAAACCGGCCCAGAGTGTTGTCTCACTTTAGCAATTTAAAAAAAAAAAAAATATATATATATATATATATATATAATTAGTAGATATAAGAAGTTTTTCAAACATGATTTAAAAAAATTTGAAATATGAAATAATTGTTTATTTAATTATATTATTATTTTTATTTTTTTTTCAATAACTGACGTATATCTTGTTTTATTAAATATGAATTTATAATACATGTAATTTTCTCTTTATAGGAATTGACTACTACCTATTTACTTAATGAAACTATCTAAAGTAAGTTCTTATGACTTTACTCACCAGTCAGCTTATTGTCCTCCATCCTTCCTATATTATCAACACTGGAGTCCTGATAGTATAAGTAGAGTGCTAATGTACCAGAATATGTGCCTTTCAGTTTCATCCACCATCTGATGAATAGAAACTCAAAGAACCATATCCTAATACAATCAGCCATGGACTAGCCATATCCAACAAGAAGTCTTTGTGGCTTTAGCTTGGTTTCTTGAAAAATCAGATTGTTTCTTTTATAGTCTTATGGACTAAAGGGATAATGAAGCGTGCTTCATGCAGAAGAAATGGGGAAAACACCAAACTTGATAACAATCATTGTAATATTGCCAGATGATCATTATACCACTTCACCTTTCTTGGTATCACAATTCTAATACCTGTTGAATCAACATGTAAATTGGCTTCTTATAGGAAACAGCGCATATTAGGTTATAGCATCAGATATCATATTAAGACAGTCCAATTGCCTTCACTTGGAACTGAACTTGGTATCTTGGTGATGGCAATCAGAAGATACCAGTCCTTTTCTTCTGGTTTGAGATTCCATGTTAGCCCCCTGGAGGATTTGAACCATTATCTTGTAATTTGACTTGCGGAGCACTAACCACTGTGCTATAGATCCACAGGTCATTTAATTATATTATAAAATATTTAAAATATATTTTATTATAGAAGTCTATCAATATATGGATACAAAGATTTATAAAAATTTTTAAAAAATTTTTAGCTTCATAACTAAAACTTCCAAAATTATATTTATGAATATATCATATAATTTCATCTATTTGAAAGTATGAAATAACTAATGGATTTATTTCAGAAACTTATGAAAGTTTCCATAAGAAACATGTTAAACAACTTTATTATTTAAATAATAAAAAAAATATCAAATAACAACTAATATAAAACATAAGTATACAAATTAATTAACAAACTTTTGGAATATCTAACAATATTATATATTTTTAGAATTGATGAAAAATAATAATTAATAAAATCTTACAAAGCTCTAAAAGATAAACAATTATTTCAAAAGTATTTATTTTCAAATAAATTATAGAAATTTGAATGAAAACCTTGAAAGTGTTTTAAAATTATACTTTAATTCTTTGAATATTCAATAAATAATTTTATATTAACAATATTTGGAACAGTTATAATAGAAAATGGTGGAATTGTCTGGGCATCTAATAAATATAATAACACTTTATGGCTTAATAATGTATCAATTAAAATAAACTTTGAAAAATTATATAACTATATAATAGATTTGATGGAATTTGTTATGAAAAGGTAATTATAATTATTTAAAATATAAATATTATTTTATTTTAAGACTAATATAATTTTTTTAGGTTTTATTGATAATAAAGATAAGTGAACAATTCAAAAATCTCTACTTCAATTAGTATTAGTACAATAGTATAATTTTAAATCAAAAAAATTACCATACATATATAAATGTGCATATCTCAAATCAATAGATATATGTATATAATTTAGTAGATATAAGAGCAATAGATAATTTAGTTCATATAATTCCAAAATTCGATAAAAGTAATGAATATTTATTAAATAATTATTTATTTTAATATAATTATTATTACTTTAAAAATTTTTAAATTTTTTTGAAATAAAAATTTCCGGAGTTTATTATTTTAAAAAATTTCCTAATGTTATTTATAAACTATTTTATATATTATTAGATTAATTTTATTTTATATTAATCTATTATTATTAATTCAATCTTAAAAATATTGAATTAAAATTAATATTCAAAATATTATTAATATTGCTATTATATTTTTGTTGATATTGATTTTATTTCAAATTAAAAAAAATTAAGAAAAAGTTAAACATAGGATATTGAAAATAATATATCTATTTTTAGTAAATTAAATATTATAAAAAAATCTTTTACACTTATATTATTATTTTTGTTTAAAGTTGTTCAAATATTTAAGACTTGTATTAATTTATTGTCCATGGATTATTTTAGCTATTGGTATTTATTGTTATTGTTTACTTAAAATAATTAACTATTAAAATAATATTGAGATGAAATCTTTATAATAACTTACAAAAAGAGATACTAGCATTATTGAAAAACAATTATCAAGCTATTTAATTAAAAACAGATGTTGCATATCTATCAGATTAACATGAAAATCACCTAATATAGGAAACAATACTATAACAGGTCATGATACCAGATATCATTTTAACTTAATTCAATTGCTTTTTCTTGAAAATAAAATTGATATCTTGTGATAAAGATCTGGAAGCACTGATCACTATGCTATTGATCCACAGATCATAATAAGATTTTAATTAATTATTAAATATAAATATTTAAATCTAAATATTATATGATTTCAATATTTGGATAATATAATTTTTATCATTATTAGAACCAAATACTCTATTCTTTCTAAATGTTAATGAGTTATAATTTGTCGTCAAACACAAACACACTGTATTTGGTCTCGAAATAAATGCGTGTTTGAAATCCCCAATATACAATATATTTATAATAAGAAGATAAGCACTTAAACAAAAATTTATATAGTTATCTTAAAGCTTTGTTTAAACAGGAAAAACACTTTGCCAGTCGAATGTACATGTAATATAATTTAAACATTATCCATACGTATAATGGATACAAATTCTTTTATATTATTACGAAATGGAATTTTGCGTTAAATTGTGCGTAAATTTATCCACAACATAATCCGCGGCTGTGCCAGAAGTCATTTCACCATTAAACACTTTTTGTTCAAACGTATTTACCAGTTTTCTTATTGATTCGTCTGATTTCAATCTATACAAGAATGACGAAACAGTGTGATTCATCCACAACTCAAAAATGCGTGAGAAATATTCCAAGCGGTTAACTAACCTATCTAATAGTTCAGTTTTTATCTGGCGCCACATCCATAGTTTCCTTTGTTCACTTCGCTTCCTTTGAAATTCTCCAGATTCCTGGTAAATCATGATTTCGATTAAATGGAATTAGGAGCGATCAATTGCAACATAAATTCTCATACCCTCATTGCGTTTAAATAAGACATTGTTATATTCCAAGCATTTTCAATCCCCATATTGGTTTTTGCAGATACGCTTGTGACCTACATGATCGTGAGAGCTTAAGTAAATCAAAAGGGAATTGACAAAAAAATTCTTCAGCGGAAATTACCTGAGGCTTCCAGTATGGGGTTATTGGTTGAAGATACTTCAAGGCACTTGTATATTCGATTAATGCTTCCCTCGCGGAAGCAGCCAGAGGGCCATCGGCTTTGTTGACTATCACAAGATCGGATATTTCGACTATACCTTTTTTCAATCCCTATCGTTCCATCATAATAATAAATGGTCATTCATAGTAATAACGAGTAAAGATTACCTATATCATTATGTAATTACCTGTATCTCGTCACCTCCAGCAGGCGGTACCATTAAAATGAACCTAAGATCATCATTTGTAAGTTATGCGGGTGATTAAAGACAGAATATGGAACAGAAGGTTATGCTTACATGTCAACTATGTCAGCCACCATCGTTTCTGACTGGCCTACGCCAACAGTTTCCACTAGGCACACATCATACCCGGCAGCTATGTGATTTCACTAAGATCAATAAAAACATAAAAAACTTCTCTTCCCTTAAATGAAAACAACATAATCCTACCTTCGCATAAAATGATAGCCTCGTTCGTATTCCGGGCTACCTACATTATTATGATCTTGTAAAAAATTCGTCTTTAATAGATTATGGAATTTGCATAAAGACTTACACCACCTATATAATTCATGAACAATTGATTGAGTACCCATTTATGAAACTATTTTGTAAAGAATTTCTTCATACCAAGTGTGCCACGACTCGGTGAAGGTCGGATATAGGCGTTTTCTTGATGAGACAATTTCGGCATTCGAGTTTTATCACCTAAAATCGATCCACCGTTTCGAGTTGAAGACGGATCAATGGTCTGGATAGATTTAATATGTATAATGAGAATTATGATGATACCAAAATAATAGAAGTAGATATCTTACGAGTACGGATACGCGATGTCCCTGAGAAAGTATATGTAATCCAAAACTTTCTATGAAAGTTGACTTTCCGACTCCTGGCGGACCGGATAGGCCTATTCGGAACGTGGGCTTACACTCATTATTATTATGTTGTGCGTCGAGGATCATGGAGAGCAACTGTTGAGCTTGTTGCTTGTGATCTTTCCGTGTAGACTCCACTAGACACGTTAGACACGTTAAAGAAGCGCCATTATATCAGATAGATCATTCATTTGGTTATACTTTGATGAATGCACACCTAATGTTATGGATTTTGCTAGATAACTGCGATCGCGGTTTTTTATTCCTTCATAGTATTGAAGAACCTTTCCTGAGACTTCACTAGGTGTAGAATGCGAGAATTTTTGAGTTCGAAAGAAAGCTTCATTTTTGAAAAGCCCTTCAATATATGAGCTAAAGTCTCGTTGAAGATATTTGGGTATAATGTTGCAAATAGGAATTGAAAATGGCTGGAATAATAAAAAATTAATGAAGGATGCATCAAATTTTCGGCACAGAATTCAGCATTGAAAAGAATTATTCATGACAAACACTTTTGAAATCCGAGAAATCATTAGAAAACAAAACTTGGAAAAGGTAAAGAAAAAGTTGAAAAGTGTAGGTATGCATGATTCTATAGTAGATCTATCGTATGATTTACACCCTAAAAGGTAATAATTGTTTCGTTTATAGCAATATATAAAATCAGCATTGCCTAAAAAAATATTTTCATTTTTTATTATTATTATAGAAGTCGGAAAAATCAATTTTGAAAGAAATCTCTAGTAACAAAGTTTTAAATCATCTATGTACAAAGAATTGAAAAGAACCTCATCCTTTACATATTAATAAGGATAATTCATTTGTCTTTAATCAATTACCTTATTTATTAAATAATATAATTCATTTTTCTATACTGCATATGACATAAAAAGAGTATTCGCTTGAAATAATGCAATAGTTCCTTAGAGAACGAAAATAGCCTAATGTTTGTTATGGATCAGGTTCTGTCGTCAAAAAATGAAAAATCAATCATTGCATTCATTTAATTCGAAAAAAATAGATAAAAAAATCAAGAGAACCCGATATCCAAATTCATGATGGATTTAGGTTTCTATGGACGGTGTCATATCTAATGAGAAACAAGAAGTCAAAGAAAATGAAAAAAAATTTGTACACATTTGTACTATAATAATGGAAAACTTTCTCTCTCGCTTGAAACATACCAAGGATTACAAACTAAGGTGCTAAATACATATGTGACTCGGGTGAAATGGACAGATAATAGACCTGCATAAAGTAATAACAATATGTTTATGTTAAATTTTTAGCAATTGCTTATACAGACCAAAAGTAAAGCATAGTATGAAAAGTAGATGTAATAAATATAATTAAGCAATACTAGAATTACGTATAAGAATATCTAGTTATAACCAAATATCGAGATATGAAAAACGCGTGCAAAATAAGGGAATGAGTGGAGGCAAATGAATATAGAAAACCTGCAAAGTATGAATAAAAAGAATATTGCAAATTTGGCCAACTGCAGTAACCGTGGCCACCATTCCCACCATCAAATAAGAAAACGCAAATCAACTTTAGCGTCATAAGAATAAAATAGTGGAGTTTGGTCGTTGTTTCTTAAGTTCTATCCTGCTAACGATCTTTTACTTAAGTAGCTCTTTATTTTCATAAGCGCTGCGAAATCGGTACCAATCAAAGGAACCTGGCCTTGGGGCATGCTCAGATTTCTTAATTGATAGCATTTGACCAGAAATAACGATCGCACCTTGACTCAACGCCTCGTTATAAGAATCCCATTTTGCAAAGTAGGCAAAAGCGTGATCCTGTGGTTGGATGAATTAATAAGTACCATTCATTATACTTTTTGAAAAAGTACATCTGAAACCTGCCTTCTCGAACTCACCCTATGACGGTATTTTGCGACAGCGATCACTTCTCCGAACATATCACTCAATGACTTTTTGATGACGGCAGGAGGGATATCAATTTTAAATACACCTACGTAAACGGCTGGAATCGTGATTTTTGGTGTGCTATGTTTAGTGGAATCAATGGTGGTTGCTTTTTATTCAAGAATTAAATTTTATAAGTCTTAAGACGCGTTGCATTAACTTTTCCATAATTCTCATACCCACCGTCTTGTAAATTCTGACCTAAATTCTGGACCAGAAATTCGGGAGATTGTTGGGGCGTAGACACGGAGTGACGCATGGCAAGCTTAGCTGAAAGTTCTTTTAGGGATTCCACGAACGCTTGATTTGGAATAGTGCTTCTAAACGATTCAGTAGTTGGGGTATTCTTGACGGAAGTACTAGTTGACCCACCGAATCGACTCTCCTTGGCAGTGGATGTCGCAACGCTCTTAACAGATTCTTGATCATCTTCCTCGCAATGTTCCTGATCTTCAACACTAATCGACGAATAACTCAACATTGAATCTCTAGCGTCTGCAAGAATAGCTTGCGAAGCGATCAATTGATTCCTTATGGTCATACAACCACCATCTTCACGAGTGGAAATACGATCATGATAGGCGACAACGTTGTATAGGATCCGTTCATTATAGTGAATGGCTTCGGTAAAACTTCTGATAGCTTCATTTTGTAAAGCGAAAATTTGTTTACGAAGGTGTTTTATTTCTCTTTCCTTCTTCTCAAGCAGAGATTCATCGTTCGAGATAACATTTTTTCCCTTGCAATCTGTCATTTTTACCTTTGGATTTCCGAGAAAGAAGATATCATCATGTTATTATTAAAGAAACCGTTTCATCATACATGCTTTCACGTTTGGATAGCTCAACGTCAATGAAAATTTCTTTATTACTTTTCTTTTAAATACCTTTATTTAATTTGGCAATTGCGTCAAGAGAAAAAAAATGGACGTGCGGCGTAAAGAAGACCAAAAAAATTCTTAAAACCGAATACAACGGAATTTATGAAAAAATTTTCATGAAACTTTCTGAATGCTGTCATCATGATATTATTATTATTAATCAACTATTATGTCATCTCATCGGGTTTCGTAGTTAAAGCGACTAAATTACGTCATCTATAAAATCATAGAATCTAGTCGCTAAGATTAATGATGCAAACGATGGTGGTTCGAGTATATTATATTTCCGAATTACTAGCTTTTTTTTTTAATTTATCTTTGGCATGGTAACATTGATTGGACAAAAATTAATTTATGAGTCTTTTACCAAAATAAGATGTAATAAATAGCTGTAATAATTACCAACAAAAAGTCACATTATTCCTTAAAAAAAGAGCCTTAAATCATTATCCGCCTTTTTCACGCGACACCCAACCATTACAACCTTCGTCAAGAAATCTAAACGTTATGTTGCTCGCTTAACCACTTATAGATGGAACTAAAATCCTTCTTCTTATATTCCGGGGACTTTGACAAGATGTTATAAATTTGTTGTGCTAGAGTACCCAGAATAATAGTGGACTGAGTATCCTTAGCTGCATTAGTTGCCAATCTCAGATCTTTCGCTATCAATGCATTTCCAAATCCACCTTCGTAATCGTTGTTTGATGGTACATTTGGCATCACACCAGGGCATGGATTGTAGGTATCACTCGACCAACATCTTCCCGATGAGGTATTTAGTATGTTCGCCAATAACTTTGGATCCAAACCCAGCTGCACTCCAAGATTCATTGTTTCTGATACTCCGATCATGGATATGGCCAACAACATGTTATTGCAAATTTTTGCGACCTGACCTGCCCCAAGGTCACCACAATGAACAATATTTTTGCCCATGTGACTTAAATAGGGCTTGGCCTTGATAAAATCCTCCTCTGAAGATGCACCAACCATAAAAGTTAAGGTCGCAGCCTCTGCACCAACGACTCCTAATTCAGTTATTCGTCATCAACAAAGAGCGAAAACTATATGTAAAGATTCTTTTATAAGAAAAGATGTATGAATTGAATTTACCTCCGGATACAGGTGCATCAATCTGCCTTGCACCTTTACTGATGATCTGTTGAGCCACATCTTTTGAGACACTCGGATCTATTGTACTAGAGTCAATAAAAAAGCTTGACCCATCCAATCCGTTTATCAATCCATCATCACCTAAGTATACTTCCTTTACATGGGGTGAATCGGGTAACATGGTGATCACGGTTGAAGCCTTTTTGGCGACATCGGCAGGTGATCCGGCACATTGAATCGATTGCTGGGCAAGGGATGCTGAATGAAGTGAGGTGAATTTATCTACGGATGATTTATTTACATCATAAATAACGATTGGAGAATTCGCTTTTTTGTATAAATTATTGACCATTCTAAATCCCTGTTTATAAAGAATGAATTACGATGAAGATGAATTCTTCCAGAATTCGATTTGGAAACTAATTATGTACCATCAATCCAATCCCAATGAATCCAATTGCATTATCTCTGGAAGACTATTATTAATGAAACAACAGCATTAAATTATCTGCACAGGCTTTCAATCTTTCCGTTGAAATTACCTTATCTGCAAATTAAAGTTCAAAATATTTTTTTAGTATAAATTGAAAGTAATCAATGACTGTTATGTGTTATATGATAAAACCT